GTCTTCCTCCAATATCTGCTTCTGCCTGTCAACACTTATATCGTGTATACTATCAAGTTCAATTATGGCTAGGTAATCAACTGAATCCAGAAGACTGGGGTTGGAAATTTATAGATAATACATTGGAGCTGATTAAAACTTTACTTCCACCTGCTCCAGAAAAACTACTTTAATTTTTTGCAATTGCAAAAAGGGTTGTAGCGCAAACTGTGGTTGTAGAAGAGTCGGGTTGTTTTGTACACCAATATGTACTAATTGTCAAGTTCAGTCTTGCTCCAATATTGACTTAAATACAGATGAGGATTTTAATGAGGAGACAACTGATGCATCTGTCATAGATGGATTTCCAGATATTCCGCAAGAAGATGAGAAAGAGGAAAGCGAAAAAGACATTACTGTTGAAGTATCATTTGAAGATTACCACTCAGATTAAAATTCTCCCAAAATCAACAATAATCCGTTCGACTATAATCATTACCAAGAGCACCGTTTTTTAAAATTAATAGTATAATGTGTAATAAAACTTAAAGACAATAGATCGTGGACTAGGCCTACAGGACCAAGGAAACCACGTTAAAAAAACGCGCCAAGTACACTACCTACCTCACAGGTGGTGCGGAAATGTGTGCATATTATAAAAAATACGAATTTTTCAACTTTTGAAATCGCCATATCTCAGGAATGGTGGTTTGTAAGATAAAAGTATAAGAACCATTATTGTAGAAAATTTAATGGTCTACAACATTTGTTTAAGGTACTTTTGCGATAGCGCTTACCGTTTAGGAGAAAAAAGGCAAAAAAACATATTTTTGACTTTTGACCTTGAATAACTTTTTTAGCAGACGTGGGAGGGGTGGGGATTTTTCAGATATCATTTATAATAGTGTATTTAAGATCTGTACCAATTTTTAGCTTTATGCGAATTATTCTTAACTGAAATGTCTATTTTGACTGGGGTATTACGCGTGCATAGTAAATATGCGGTATATCAAGTTAATCCTCGACTGCCTTATGTATCCCGAAAGACGAACGAAAAAAGTTGATTGAATTAATTCTCGAATTTATTGAAGAGCACCTTAAAATTCTACAGCCGTTAGCTTATACTAAAGACATATTGCATAAAACATATCATCGCTTTTTAATGGAAATTTATTTGAAGACATCTAAACTGTAATTGATATACATATAAAGTACTAAAAAATCGCTTAAATTTTATAAAATAAAACATATTTTTGTGGTTATAGATATTCTGAAAATTTAACCTTTTGTTTTATGTGGTTTTAATCTCATTTGTACCTACAAAAAATTAATAATAATAATAATAATAATAATAATAAATGTCTTTATTTAGTACCCAAGAAAAACAAATACAAAATATCATAATAAAAGATGCGGCGAGATCTAGCACAATGCTACTCCATCTAACCGCACTGTTAAATATAAGCTTAACAACTAAATTCTAAGTCTAAGTTTTTTCGTGAGCAGTAACTAATGACACTAAAAGATTATAGAAAACAATAATATGATAGCAAAGGCGAGCATTAAGTGAACAAACTAAAAACAGAAATAATTATAAGTTATTTTAAAATAATACTCTCGACGAAATTAAATACTTCTCTCATTCACATAATGACGCTTGACAGCCTTCCTGAATGAGCCAACAGAGGGCCTGCATAATACACTATTTGGTAAACCATTAAATATTTTTACAGCAGAATAACTAAATGAGCCTCGAAACTTGGAAGTTCTATGTTTAGGTACAACAAAATTTCGGGAGTTACGCGTTGCCCGACCGTGGATACTATTATTAGTAATTAATTTGTCATATAAGTATTTAGGGAGTTGACTGTGACGAACTTTATAAACAAGGGTAGCTAAGTGAACATTGAATCGTTCGTCCAATGTTAACCAGTTGGACGCCTCTAACAATGGGGTGACATGGTCAAATTTTCTTTTGCCAAAACTAAACTTTAAGCAGGCATTTTGAAGCTTTTGTAGGCTATATCTATTTCTTTGTGTAATGGCTGGCCAGAATAAAACATCACTATAGGAGATCATAGATAACACCAAAGAATTAGTTAACCTTAACTTAATATCAGTAGATAGAATATTTGCATGCATGTAAAGTACTTTTAATTTATAATAAGCTTTTTGCAGGACGCTGGACACATGATTTTCAAATTTAAGTTGGTTATCCAACAATATGCCTAAGTTTTTTTCACAGCTTGAAGGTACAACTAGTGTGCCATCAATAATAACTTCCATACATTGATGATCAGGCATGCCAAATAACAACAATTTGGATTTGCTTCCATTGAGTACCAGCTTGTGAGATTTAGACACCTTTACAATCGTATCAAGATCTGAATTAATATTTCTTAAGGCATTATTGACATTAGATAATTGAAAAGAGTGGTATATTTGGGTGTCATCAGCGTATTGATGAGATTTACAAACAGTTAAAAATTCGCTAAAGTCGCAGGTGTACAAAGAAAATAATAAAGGTCCTAGTATACTACCCTGTGGGACACCCTGGTTGACATCTGTGTACTCAGAAAACGTAAATGCCAGCCGTACTCGTTGTTTCCTATTACTTAAATAATTATTAAAAAGTATAAGAGCGGAATCATGGAGACCAAAATATTTTAGCTTGGTGAGAAGTAAATTATGATCAAGGGTATCAAACGCTTTGCTGTAGTCCAACAGTACAAGTGCAGTCACATTTCCACTGTCTAATGAACGAAAAATATCATCACAAACATGCAAGAGCGCTGTTGTGGTGCCATGCCGCGCTCGAAACCCAGATTGTGTCACGGGTATTATAGAATTATTTAGAACAAATTCATTAAGTTGTGTAAACATAATTCGTTCTAATATTTTAGAGAAAATGGGTAGAATACTTATAGGACGATAATGAGAAAGTTCACTAGGAACGTCATTTTTTGGCACCGGTATTACATCTGCCATTTTCCAGCTTAATGGAAATGTGTTTGAAGAAAGAGCTTTATTAATGATATAAGTTATGTAGGGTGTCAAATATGGAATCAATAAAGTAATCATTTTTATGTCGATGCCATCAGAGCCAACAGAAGATGTTTTAATTGAATATATGATTCTTTCAACTTCAGCTTCATTAACTTCTTCAAATTTAAAAGCATTGTGAACATTTGGATGAATTTTATTAGAATATTTATCTATAAATTGATTATTATTTGTCACTCCTATTTGAGGAATGCTGCTAATGAAAAAAGAATTAAGCTGATCAGCCGCATCAGAGGTCTGGAGCAAGGCAGATGCATCGGAGCTTTTAGAAGTAATGTTAAGGTTATTTAAAGTTTTCCAAAAAGAAGCAGGATCTAGTCTAAATTTATATTCAAGATAAGCTTTTTTTTCGTTCCGTACAGCACTTGTTACCAGATTACGAAGCTGCTTGTATTCATATAGAGAGGTATCAGTTTTTAACTTTTTATATCTTGTGAGAGCCTTCTGGCGCAGCTTCATCATAAATTTGATATTATCGGTAATCCAGGGAGCGGGGGGTTTAGAAAACCTAGATGTTTTAAGTGGTGCATGTATATTAAATACGTCTGTTATATTTTTTTGAAAAAAAGTAATCATCTGATCAATATTAGTCATATTAAATATGTTTTGCCAGTTCACGTTAAAAAGATCATTCACAAAATCTGTAAGAACAAAATGTGAATAATCACGATAAGTGCGATAGGAAATGGGCACACGATTTTTTTGAAGATCTAAATCTGTTAATACTAGATGATGGTCAGATATATTATCCATATTAATAACCTGCACATCTGATATTAGTTTTGGGTTAGATGTAACCAAAACATCAATTAATTTACCCCCGAATTGAGAAATACGAGTGGGCGACTGCACTAATTGCGTTAAATTATATTTATTGAAGAACTGATTAATGGCAGAGCACCCAGGGCTTCCCGCTTCCAACATATCCACATTCAAGTCACCGCCAAACATGACAACATCGCAATCAGGCAAAAAACTAACAATGGCATTCTCCAGATCATCCAGAGAAGATGCCAAATTGGCCATGGGGGGTCGATATAATGTCCCGAAGCAAATAATTTTACCATTTATTTTAGTACGTATCCAAAGTTGTTCCAGGGCACTCTGCTGGGCAGATGTATCGATTACCTGAAATTTTAAAGAATTGACAACATAAAATGCCACTCCGCCACCACGGCCATCTCTGTCTTTGCGAACGAGATTATAGTTATGTATTTTAAAATTGTTGCTACTCAAAGGCTCACTCAACCATGTTTCCGAGAGACCATAAATATCAAACGCCTCTGCCGCCACATAATCAGAAAAACTGTCGAAATCTGAACATAGTGATCTTATATTAAAATGAGAAAAATAAAATTTATTTTTATTACTGCTCGCCGAAGCCATATAAGACGCTAAACAAAAGTAATGTGCACAGAAAATTTAAAAGAGAAATAGATCTACAATAATGAGATATAATTCTCGTTCAGCGAATAAATACGAGCCCATCAGATATTAGATTAAAAAAAAATAAAAATAAATCAAGCATACAACGGTATAATCAAAAACAAGGTAATAAAACAGTACATATCTGATGAACTTATAACGAAGTAAAAATATTCTATCATTATATTGTTTTTTTTAGCAATGAGACCATAGAAACAAAAAAGAAATATCTAACATTTTTTGTCGAATAAATTCTCTACAGCGAGAAAAAATGAAAATTTTATAGTTAAAGAATCACAATAGTACTATAGTCCTTTGCAGGTACCTATACGCAGGCAAATATATATATGTATATGTAAAAAAATATTAATTTCGATTAGTTATTAGTAATCATACATTGTAATCGCAAAAAAGAGAGTAAAAATATTCCAAGGTATTAAATATATTCACATTAAATAAATTATAAAAATAGACACCAGTGCTGGTAGAGAAAAAAAAAGGATATGTATTTCGCAAAAAAGCCAACATGGATTTTAAACATTGTCTGCCTCTTTAAACGCTTGTACGCTGTTGCCATCATTAACCAAAATTCTTCCATATGTCGACCATGCGTTTCTCATGCCATATTTCCTTCTTGCTGCCAGCAATACTTGATGTTGCTTTGCTGTCAGGTCCTCGTTAATGTAAATGCCTGTCCCCTTAAGATTTCTTCTGTTATTAAAAACTTCATTGCGTTTTAAGACTGATGTGAATGAAACTATTGTTACTCTTGATTTCCCAATTTCCATTTTACCCATTCTATAAACATTGTTAATTTCTTGCAAACAACATTTCACCCTTACAGCATCATTGAGTAGAGTAAGCATTTTAGACACTAAGTTTTCGTCTGAGCCATCTTCCAAACCAACAACTCTTAAAGAATTTTGTCTGATTTTATATTCGAGGTTATCCATTCTTCCTTCCATCTTTATTATAGACTGTCTATTGGACTGGGTCATACTTTCTATTGTATTAAGTTTCTCCATAATACTCCCAACACTGTTTTCTATTTTTTCAAATCTGTTACTTAAGTTTTCCAACTGATTCTCAATTCTTTGATTCAATTTTGGGACGAGCTTAGTTATTATCGTCTCTAGTTGGTTATCATCATGGGGATTGGACACTGACGACTTCTAGTTCCTTTACTCATGTTAAATCCAAATGAAGATCTGGCAACCTCGGAATCTCGAAAATATTAACGAAGCAAATATTCAACTAATATAATCAAACCAGGTATTCAACTTTTTTTCTCCCTTAAGTCTGTCAACTTTACCTTCTATTTCTATTCAACTTTCAGGGAACAAACATCAAAACAACCGTTAAAATGCCAACCAAACCGTGAGCTCGCACAAATCGCTGTTTATCTAGCCATAGCCAAGCCTATACTAATAATAATCTAATGGTAATTAAAGGAAATCGACCCTCCAATCGGTAATATAAGAAAATGTTTATTAACATTAGCGTGTACCCGCGACTTCGTTCGCGTCGAATTAATCATTTGTAATGGTGATGATAAAGCAAAGGAAGAATTTCCATTAACATACAAACTGGATAAAATTTTCTCACATATATGTCAGCATGACAAAAAACAATATGGCGATATTATTATATAATTTGGTAATAGTTGAGGGGTATTTTGATACTCCGTTTGCCAAAAATAAGATTTTTACGTCAAGCAGTTTAAGCAGAATCGTGGTTAATCAGTTACCCCACTTTTTGGAACACCCTGTATGATTTTTTTTTAAAAATTTCAAAATATGTAAAAAAAAAACAAAATAAATTATGCGTGTCCAAGCGTTTTCCCGAAAGACTAACCGTTTTTTAAATAACTAATATTGTAATATTTGAGGGGCGTTTTCACCCTTTTGGAATTTGAGATTCGAGAAACCCTCCTTATCGAACCTCTACACCCCACAGTCGATCCGTTTGCCAAAAATCAGATTTAAACGTCAAGCAGTTTAAGCAGAATCGTGATTACTCAGTGGTCATATTTTATGAAACACCCTGTATAAATTTTTAAAAAATCTTAAAATATGTCAAACAACAAAATAAAATATACGTGTTTAAGGGTTTTTTCCGAAAAACTCACCGGTTTTTAAATAAAAAATATTCTAATATTTGAGGAGTGGTTTCACCACCTTAGAATTCGAGTTTCGAAAAATCCCTTCTTATCGAACCTTTACACCCTAAAGTCAATCCGTTTTCCAAGAATCAGCTTTTTACGTCGAGCGCTTTAAGCAGGATCGTGATTAATCAATGACCAGATGTTTCGAAACACCCTGTATACATTTTTAAAAAATCTTAAAATATAAAAAAAAACAAGATAAAATATACGTGTTTAAGCGTTTTTTTCGGAAACTTGGCCGTTTTTTAAATAACAAATAATGTAATATTTGAGGGGTGGTTTCACCCCCTTGGAACTGGAATTTCGAAAAATCCCTTCTAATCGAACCTCTACACTCTAGAATCAACCTGTATGCCAAAATTGAGCTTCTTCCGTTGGGTGGTTTGATCAGTATTGTGAGAGATTAATCAGTGAGTCAGTCACTTAAGGATTTTATATAAATATTAGTATAGATTAAAAAATAGGTTCTTAAATTAAATTTTGGCTCTCTGACTGTGATTATTTTGATATAAATCATTTTGTGAGTTCCACCTGGCAGATCATCATGCTTTAAATAAAAAATATAGACTTATTAACTCATAAAAACGACTAAAATTACATTATATTGATTTAAGTCTTTACTTTTTGAGTTGACTTGAAGAAAATGATTTAAGTCAGAGACTTAAGATTTAAATCATTTAAACTTTATATTGAAATTGACTTACGAGTCTATTACGCTGTACTGTTCTGGTCGCTCTCAAGGGTCAGGTAAAGCGGGAGTGTGGCCGAAGGGAATATATACACACCGGAAAAGTCTAGGGATATTACAATTTTATCCAGCCATCGTCAGTAATTTTATTATTTGCATTTCTGATATAATAAAATTAAAATAAACAAATAGTTTACAGAACGTATTGGAAATAAAAACGCGAAATTTACCGAATTTTTCAAATTTACCTTGATTTTTATTGAACTCAAAAAAATACACACGTTTTTTTTTATTCTAAACTGAGAATTAAAAAAAAAAGATAAAACCATTTTTACTTAATAAAGGGTATGGCCTCCTCTACTATTCATTACAGCCCTACATCGTCTCTCCATGCTCCTGATCAGGTTGTCGATCTCTCCTTGAGATACAGCCTGCCACGCTGCATTCACGGTCCGAACCAGATCCCTACGAGTTTCACGAGGGATACCCATTCTCAAAATTCTTCTTTGGACCGCGTCCCATACGTGCTCGATGGGGTTGAGGTCAGGAGATTGTGCCGGCCAGGGTAAGATGTTTAATTGATGAGCATTGATAAACTCACTTACCACTCTGGCTGTATGAGGCCGTGCATTGTCATGCATGAGAATGAAGTTTCTCCCAAAATCATTGGCATATACACGACAGGCTCAAGAATTAAATCACGATATGTGATTCCTGTTAGAAACCTTTCAAGAAAAACGAGATCGGGTTTCCCGGCCTAACTGAACTCCTCCCCAGACCATAACTGTTCCACCTTGATAAGGGTGCACTTCCTGAACATGATCCAACCGAATAAGATTTCCCGGTTCTCTCCATACCCTAAGCCTTCTCGAATCCGGATGAATTCCAAAGCGTAACTCATCCGTGAAGAGAACATTGGCCCATTGTTCATTCGACCACTGAACATGATCTTGAGCCCACAAATATCGTACCTCTCGATTTCCTCTCGTTAAGGGTCGAGCTCTCCAGGGGCGTCTGCTTCTTAAGTTGACCTCTCTTAATCTATTGCGAACAGTGTCAGGACTAACGGTTACATTATGTGTTTCCTGGAGAATTAAACTAAGCTCTGGTGCTGTAAGAGTCGGTCGGCGTCGAGCATTTAATTGTAAAAAATGATCTTGCTGAGGGGTAGTAATGCGATGTCGCCCTGTGTGCCTTTCAGCAACATCACCACTTTCACGGTAGCGTGCACTTAATCGCGATATTACACTTTGCGTTGTATTTAATGCTCTAGCTACGTCGATGTGGCGCATTCCAGCTTCGAGCATACCCATGGCCCTTAGAATTTCGTCTCTGTTAAGATGTTAAAATGCCTACGCTCCATAATGTCGTTTAATACTAAACAGAGTTATTTGAATGAATTCTGGCCAGTTATCATAAAAACATAGCCAGTACAGGTTAAATTCGAACAATTTATGCTAGGTGCTTTTTATACATTTGACAAAAAAAATGCACAAACACTTCTGCAAATATCCCAAATGTAGAAATAACTAGTGTGACTACTTCGTTTCAATCGAAGTAGAAAGAATCGGCCTACAAATATGTGGTTGTTTATTCAAAACATTTATTTTTAACTTTAATAAAATGATATCCCTAGATTTTTCCGCGGTGTGTATATTATATTTCAGAAATCTGCCTAAGGGTTAGCCCGATCCTGTCGTGCTAAGCCATACCCAAAATTCCAAACACACGTGCTTTGATTAAGGTTGGATTAAGGTTTGTAGAGCTTCAGCATTTGCCATAAAATAGTGAGCAATTTCTTACAAAACCATATAAATTATACATCACTGTAATCACAAAACTTCAATCTATGTCCGTATTGTAACGGAATTTTAAATTATGTGTTTATTTTCGAGAAAATTTAGTCCAAACATAACGAATGTTTTGTTGACGTTTGATCATCAAAATCTTAAAAATATATTTGTCTAAAAATATGGTACAATACGGATATAGTATAATCCTTTATCTTTAATTTCCTTCTTCATTTGTGTAAAAATACCTAGCCAGTTTTACATAAAACGTTAAATACCGAACCCTTATTTTGCTACTTTTTTCGGACTAGTGAAATGGACTCTTAAGGATTAAGATTTAAGTCTTTTTGAAACTGACTTGTTGCGGCTCTACGGTCAGTGATACATCTGACCGAAACGTTGTGTAAGAAAAACAGATATATTAACAGGGGTGGTCATATGGGAAAACGGGAAAATTCCCGGTGGGCCGGTGGAAAGATGGGCCGGTGTGGGCCGGTCCCGATCAGAACTTCAAAAAATTGGATTAGCAAAAATTAAATGGTTAATATTCTAACTAAAGTGACGTAAGATCCTTAGTGATCCATAACTAACTAATCAATTTGCATCAGTATAATCGTCAGTTGCTTTTAAACATAAACAGTAATAACTAATAAAAATAACTATTGTAAAATGTCTTTCTCTGGGACACTTATAATTTTAATAACCATCTGTTTTTTTGCAAAAAAACCCTCATAGTGTTCCTGGGGTCGAAATATACCACCCCTGAAAATATTTGCACTTATTTAAGACTCACCCTGTATAGTTTTACCCACTATTCATTTATTAATAACTAATAAATATGACTGAATGGCAGCAAAAAAAAAGGATGAATAGCATTAGGTAAATTTAAATAGTCTCGATCTAAATGTTTACTAAGAATACAGTAGCGTAAATTGACAACTGGGAGCCTCGGTGCAATATTTTTCGAGCTCCCCTTTGTTAAAAAGTAGACGAATTTGACGCGAACTCTGCGGTTGACGGAGAAAACATATCTATGCTTGGCTTGAATTGGGGACGGACTAAAAGCCAAGTCTGAGAACTAAAAGCCAAGTCTAAATTGTTGTTTAAAATGTTGCTAAAATGAATTTGCTAAAATTTGCTAAAAATTACTGAGACAGCAGAGAAGAGTTAAATAAGGTTTAACCTAAATTATATAATAAAATATTAATATGTCTCGAAAATCCAAATATTCTTGTTATGGACTGTAACATATCACTACATCAGAACACATTTATATCCACTGTCTAGGTTTTTTTCGTTTGAGTCATGGCATTATCATACAAGATACCAAATGTAGAAAAGTATAGAGGAAAAGTTTTGTGATAAGAACTATACAGGGTGTCC